AGCCACCCGATATTGAACTGGATTGATCGCAGGGTATGCTACGCTCGTGTGTGTCCATCGAATGGATTGGGAATTATAGCACTAACTGTTGTGCTTGGCAGAGGTCTTTCTAAAAATTGTCTTACCCCATGAGACTTCCCTGTCCAAGCGACGTACCCGAAAATTTCAATGTGACTGAATATTGACTGCATATCATCAAAAGGGTACTAGGACAGGCATGATGACATGAGCGATAATAGCGTGGTTATGAGGTATCACATAGCGGTACCAAGTGGCTGCAGTGGCTCCTATTTGTTTGACTCGAGTCCCTGTGTATATGACGATCGATGACTGATGGGGCTCAGCAGAGAAAAAAATTACCTTTGCGCTTCCTGCATAACATGAACAAAGCCGAGACCTTCCTAATAGAACCTATTGTCGAGACCCTTTGATCGTCAGACACGCGTGAAGACGGATCTCGCTTCTGCGGAATCCCGGGTAGGGAAATAACAATCTCGGTATTTGAAAAGGATTTTCTGACATATCATATCCATCGAAACACTCACAATAAATACTGCCATGACACGGGGCTTTTGTATCCACATGTCTTCCAGATAGAGCGCCATCGGTTATTTTCGACTGTATGACGGCAAATAATTGATACATCACACGGATTTGCCGATGGCAGACGTGGCTAACCTATCATGACCGCACCTCCTTCAGCCAGAAGGATAAATGAGCCGGGTGCTAATCAGGGTTTCCCTTAAAGGGTTATATTCAGATGGCGCCGATCTTTGAAGTGTTGAGGCTGATGGAACAGGGAGGCTGGAGTGAGTTGGCTCACGGATGATCCGAATCTCCCCAACATGTTAGAGATCTGACAGAGGTTACTTCAAAAATCGCAACGGAAGCAAAGATTTGGGAGCCTCAAGCCTCACTAATCTTGATGTTGCTGTTTGGCACTTTCGATGTCATGAGGCTCAGAGGGTAGCGGGCTGAGCGAGGGTCACGTTAACAGTCGGGGTAACAGGGGAAACTCGCTCCGAGCCAACCAACTAACAACACTTATTACCTTCGACAAGCAGTGATCAAGCTTGAAGTCAGGTGGAATGCGGGAATCTGGCTATCCCAGACATGACTTGCGGATTAAGACAACTGAGATTGCATATCACGCGCGAAGCTTCGGAGAAGACCGACGATCGCTAAAAGAGGCGAACGAGGTCCAGGGACTATTGAGAATGGCAGAATAGGGAGATTGAGTATGTACTGACTGCCGGTACTAGATACAAGAAGATCAAACATTCAGCAAATATAACTACAACCTCGGTCTCCATCCACTCTCCTTGATTTCCCTGCGACTCTCTTCCCGCAACACTCGCTTGAGAATCTTCCCACTTGCTGTCTTGGGTATGCTCGGTACAAACTTGACGCCCCCTGTGAGCGCTTTATATCCTGCCAGCCTCTCCAATAACCAGCTCTTTACCATATCCTCCGTCAACCTGCTCTCATCGGTCTCGGGTCGGCGGACTACATACGCTCGCGGCAATTCCGTCCCCGGGACCACATCCCGCAACCCAATCACGGCAGCATCCACAATGAGCGGATGCGCCAACAGCACGGCTTCCAGTTCCGGTGGAGCAACTTGAAATCCTCGGACCTTGATCAGCTCCTTTTTGCGATCTACTATATACCATTTCTGGGTAGCACCATCGCAATACGCGATGTCCCCCGTGTGGAACCAGCCCTGCTCATCGAAGGATTCCGCGTTGGCGGCCGGGTTGTTGAAGTACCCAGGGGTGACGGCAGGGCCGCGGACACACAGCTCGCCTCGCACGCCATAGTCGGAGATATCAGCTCCGTTGTCGTCTACTAATCTATATCATTAAGTTAGCCTCGAGCTGATGGAACGAAGGGAGAAGAACATACTTAGCCTCCATGTTCGGCACTAACCTCCCGACTGACCCTGTCTCATCCCCTTCATCCCACCGGAACATTGTCGCAATACAGCATGTCTCTGTCATACCCCAAACCTGCGTACAATTGGCCCCTGGCCCAAGCAACCTTTGGAACCGTTTCTGGGCGTCTTTGTCCATGGGTGCCGCGCCCAGATTGCTCGCCCGGATTGAGCGCAGATAGCCCCGTTCGTAAGACATCGGATGCATGATGATGGCAATGGCAATGGGCGGAACAACAGCCATCTCAGTGACTTGGTATTTTTCAACCGTCTGCAAGAAGAGGGGTAGGTCGAAACGCCGCATGACGTAGTTGATATGGCCAGCTTTTAGGCTGCCGAAATGGCTGCTGGGAGCAGCAGCGGCGTGAAAAAGGGGAACAGCGATGACTCTGCTTACCTTTATAGGTCAATTGTCAGCCAGACAGTGATTCAATCATCGATAGGATCAAAGGAAACAATTTGAAAGTGAGGTACATACTCGCCATGGTCGCGGATTAAACTCAAACACAAACTCGTGTTGAGCGACAAGATTCATATGCGTGATATCTGCCGCCTTAGGAAGTCCTGTCGTCCCACTACTGAACAGCCTGGCTGCTGTAGTACTCCTAGACATCTCCTCGTTGTCAAACCTTATCCAGTCTTGTTCACCATGTTCGAGCAACTCCGTCCAGGACATGGCTCCATCTGGTACCGACTGCCCCAAAACATCGAATACCCGGATCCGATGTGCTGGAATTGATGTTGCTTTCGCTGCCGTAGTTATCGCATCCAGATGCTCCGGCTCTGTGATGATGAAGCTTGTCGCTGAGGAGCGGAAATGATGGCTTAATTCGAATGTTGTGTAGGCTGGATTTGAGCCCGTAAAGATCCCCCCTGCGCCAACGATCGCCAGGACCAGCATGGTATAATAGATCTATCATTTGTGAGTAATCAGCTGGCAGTGAAATTGGAGGGTTTGAAAAAAGCGTACATCATTGAAAGAGTGAATGGCGACACAGTCGCCCTCTTGCACGCCCCAGGCGCGCAGCCCCGAGATCAGTTGGCGAACAATAGTCCGGGCTTGGTTGTAGGAAATGGAGCGAGAGGGATTGTGGACATCGACGTAGATCTGTACCAGTTAGAGGTGTTCTGTAGGCGAGGAGAAAAGAAATTCGAGAAGAGGAAATTGTATCCCCCATCGGAATATTACCGGTTCATTATGATCGTAGGGCGGGTCAGAAAAGACATAGGAGATCACATCGGCGCAGGGCACCGGGGCCCTGGCTGCGGGTTCAAAAATCATGCTAGATGGAAAAAAAGAAAGGACCAGGGGGGATGCGAGGATGCAAGGATGCAGGGACCAGGAAGACGCATGCTGACCGATTTATAACCTCAGCTGAGGTGAACCCAGCCGCGATGCTGAAATAGGGTTTATCGTTATGTCTGGAAGGCCAGGAAGGCACATCACCCGGAGCCGGCAATTGGCACTGACTCGAGTACTGGACACATGGCCAGCATGGTGTGACTGGGACCCCCGCCTGCGACAAAGGCATTGTTATTCAACGGCCCTTCGGTAGACCATTCATGGAACGCCAGACCTGCAGATCGGAGAATATTGAGGAATCAGCGTGCACTGGCCTGGCCGGGGGTACTCGGATTTTAGTGTTGCGTGTCGTTGGAAAATGGCCAGAGAGACCAATGGCTGCGAGGCTAGCTGATAAACAGCCCCCAGCAGGCAACCCACCGACCCGCAGCGCTGCATTTGGCAGCTGCCTTCAAGCCAATAATTAAGCTCTCCTGCGCCCGAGAAGCTCGCCAACGGCCGTGGCATGGCAGCTTGGATCCTCGGCCCATGCTTATCACCGATCACAGCCGAACCTGCGCCCTCGGATACCTTTTCATTCTCCGCACCGCTACAGTGGTGCCGAGCACAAGAACATTGTCAATGCAATGAATCCCACCCCAATTTGTCCAAGCGCAGAGTGAGAGTCTCATGATTTGCCGACGGGTTCGGTGACAGCACAAGACCTGATAGCGACCGCAGCATCGTGCTGATTGTTATCACCGAAGTCGAATCTACAAGCCCGCACATATCCGGTCTGCGTTGACCGCAATGGAACTGGCCTGACCGTGACAAATCCCATCATGCTAGGCTGCCGCAGACCGTGCCTTTGTTAGGAAAGTAGTCAGCGCGGTATGCACTGGGGTACGTTGTTGCTGTCGAGCATCAGGCCCAGATTATGACAAACAGCCACCCTTGCAGGATCTGCCCGTCAGTTGATGACCGCGAATAGCGACATTATGGGTATAATAGAAGAAAAACCAGAAATTGGAGGGACTAGATTAATTTGTGCAGGCATGCCTGCGGCTTGAGTTCTTGTCGTCTTTGCTGAAGGAGATTAAGCCTACCCTTTCTGACAACCCACGCGCATTCGGTGAAAGCATCTGGCTTTCACGTCTGCCTTGCCAATCTGACGTGCAGTTGTGACATTTGGCCGGAAAGCTTTGGCACTGTCGCCATTCAGCGATCCTAGGGGCCATCCGAGACATATTGAGGCGTGTGATGTGCCTGAATGAGAATGTACAACGACCCCCATCCGACGGGCTACATTCAGCTCCGATCTCAAGCCCCACAGAGGACACAAGCTGTAATGATGTTAAGATTTTAGCTGGGCAATACCGGAGCGAACAAAAGCGACGTGATACACATTGAGCGTTTGAATCAAACCACTTGTATCAGGAAAAAAAAATGCTCCGGACAGAGCTGGCTACAGGACCTTGGATACCTCGCGCATCCAAGCAGCCACAAAGAAAATCCGATTTCTTTGAAAGCAGCCTATTTGTGACAGCGTCTGATGCGCTCATGAGCGTACGAAGAGCTGCAGCAATCATGAAGACGCGGACAGGGCCTGCGCAGTGGCGCCGGCTTATAAAGGGAAGAATATAAATTAATACAGACCTTGAGACTTATGACCAGACCGTGTGTACATGCAAGCGGTACACAGGAGGCAGCGCTGAGGAATAGATTGGGGTGTGGTGTGGCACCCATGGTGTAGACATCGACCATGGTGTCCCTGGGTCTCGCTCATAAACTTGACAGTGCCAGAACCATGCTGGGTTAGCTGACCCATATAGCATTTGACAGGTGTTTGTGACTCACCTAACTAGTATATTCGACGGTACCGATGTTTTCTCGCAGGATGGGAGCAGTGCGAGGTTCCTCTTCGATATGACAACGCCGCACAAACCTACAGCAAAATCATCGAACGCTCTTTTGATAGGGCGGCCTGTAGGCTCGCATCGCTCTGTACCTGCCTCTTCTTTCCATACATCTTGGTGTGTTGTATTCGGATGCAAAATCATCACAGGCTATGACGCCAAGATCAAGGCTACCCTCCCAAGGCTTGGAGCCAAGGGCGAAATCTGGGGATGGAAGCCTCTGCGACCTGAGATGTTCCTGTCTAATAGAATAGGCAAACATAGCCGAGTACTACATCGGTTTTTGCAAGAGATGAGTGGCTATGTATCTGAGATCTTGTCTCGGGTGATGGTTGCTCTTCCTGGCCGTCAATGCAAGGCTGGGGTTGTAGTTACACGAAACTTTTATCCAATCCATAGAGGAAATTATGCTTCGTCTCAAAATCACGCGAAAGAGGCGTCCCCTTGGCAGGCGCATCTGCATCTCATTAACCGGCTTGGCTCGTCTGGGTTGGCACATAGCCTGGTGACAATGATGGCTTCAATCTAGACCATGTTCGGATCCGGAGATTCTGTTGTTCGACTATTCCGTTCTCCATTGTTCCGATCGAAGCATTTTCTCTACAGGTTTACTTCCCTTGCCCCGAACATCAAGGTCACAAAAATATTGACGTATTCCCTTACGGTCTACTCCGGCCCATTCGTAAACGTGCAGAGTAGAGGGCCTTGCAGCGGGGTCATGAACGAATTTCCGCGGCAGTCCCGATAAGCAATACCCAGGGTGGTACGTAGTGTTTTGCAGGGATCCCCGCAGATGAGAGGAAATGAATTGCCCAAGTCTAAGGTTCCGAGTCCCAAGGTCCTCTGGCTGAACCCTGCTCGATGCAGGGTCTTCCACACGTTCAACCTTAAGTGTCAGAGTGGTATTTGTTCTCAACCTCTGCTCGTGTGGCAGGAAAGTTCGCTTGAGCCAGGTGAGCAGTATACCAGCTTGGGAAAGAAGACATATGTAGCGAGGTAGCACAGGCCAGCAGAATGCCAAGAGTCTTCTGCGCGGGTTAGCGTTGTACATGCTTGACGTTGCGAAATTCACCGGGGTTCTTCCGAATGGCCATCTCCAGGCCGTCAAACAGGAAGCCATGCCTTTCCCGACGGTCGCGATCCAGCAACATGGCTAGACTTGTATTCAAGACGATAAGACCCATATCTTGAGCACAGGAGTATTCTGATTCGTAGTGATCTGAGGAGAGAATCTAGCGGCAATATCGATATTCCCGCCGTCAAAAGCCGCCTCGCGATGGAACCCAGACCTATAATGACTTCACAAGCAGCACGCCGAGCGCTGAATAACACATTCCTAATCGGCCATATATTTAGCGCATGTCTGGGACGTTTGCCAAAACGCCACCAACTTTTTGGCTCGGGATGACTGGCTAACGCTGCTGTGGTCATATTTTAGCCGGTGGGTCTCGATTAGGGGGAAACACGGTGCCGTAATTTGCAACAAGGTTGACGAGTTTGACAGAGAAGGCAATGCCAACTCGATTTGGATGGCTGTCTTGATGAAAGGATCATCTGTAAGCCGGATGTTAGTCTCGCTCCGTTCTTTTCATTTTGTAGCCACCCGGCGGTAATCCTTGCAGATGGCTGAGCAGTGCCTGGATACCTTTGCTGTTCCAGTCCTGTCAGGTCATTGGGAAAAATAAAACTATAAACCTAGCAAAAGGAAGGGTGCATTCGTATGACTATGTGATCTTCCTTAGGTAAGATACGACTCGGGCGCCCAGACTCCTGTTGTGGAAGTATACAGAAGGTATCAGTAGTTAGTCAGCGCCTTAACTTAACGTTAATGACGGGCATTTTACTTCGATGATCAACAGAGCTGCAATGTACCTCTGACACCACTCCCCTTTGTCACGCTCAAAGTCAGATTCTTAAGAGACAGCATATAATATGGTTAGCCCGTTGGGTGGCTCCCGGGCCGGTGGGGGACCAAAGGAAAAGTTTAGGAGAAACGTCACTAAATGAAACCAGTCAACACTATCCCTCACTTGTCCAGAACAAGTAAATCAAGCGGTAGGATTGCTCCGAGTCCCGGTTACAGAGACTTTGTGTTGCTGTCTTCCTGAGGCATGCTCCTAGGGGGCCACTTACAGCGGCGTGATAACCAGGAAATGGCTTGTGCATGTGTTAATAGGATCCAGCTGATAACCACCTATGTTTTATCTGTCCTGTCAGAGTATCCGTGTTGCAGAAAGATAGCAGATGAGTGCTTTGTGGTCGCATGAACCTTCTTCTGGGCATGGCTGCTCCACTCCCCTTCACAACGCTCGGGTAAGCCGAGCATCAAACACCTGCAGAGATCAACCTCCGTGGCGTCTCATGGTAAAGGAAGGACCGCATCTGCTTTCAGTTCTTCCTCATGTCGATTTTAATCTTAGAGACTCTAGATCTCCTCCCTGCAGCCACGCGAGACACGTATATTTTTTGTACTACTGAAGGTTGTAATAGCACAGGCTCATGATAACTCACCATAGGTCATTGATCTTGATGGCATAGTGGATCAAATTCGAAGCAGATTGGAGGAACTATTGTCTCCGATAGATCAGAAGTCGCCATCTTAACTGATAGATAACAATCCGCTGGCGGATAAGTGCATGCGGCACTACGACTGTGCTACTGCACGACACACATAGTTTTGGTTTCGCAAGCAGTTCAGGTAATCCTATTATTATTTTTCCATTTTTCGTAAATCCTCAGTGAACAGATAACGCTCTCGGCTTCTTGCGCGGTTGTTCGGATTTGACTTATGGGGAACCAAGTCATAAGGCTGAGAGGTCGGTGGCATGGACGCCCTATAACACACAAGTGAAAGATCAGCCAAAGTTCGAGAAGTCGGAAACGGAACGATCGACAGAGGTGGTACGTATAGGGACTGGAAGGCATCACAAAGGGATCTAAACCTAGAATAGAGGATTGAGTAATCTAGTCCAACGGCCACTGAAATCATAGTCAATGGTTTCGATGAGCTTCGATTCCTCCCATTCCGGGTGCCTCACATGCAAGTCGAAATGAAGGCTTGCAGGTGTGGCAGCATCTTCAGCAAGTTGCAGGAGGTTGAGGCGTTTGGCTGGTTTGCAGCAGCCAATGAGCGTGATCAGATGATCTCTTTGTAGGGAGTTGTAGGGAGTACTAGTCACTACTTAGGTGTACTTCTTACTACTAAGTACTCCTCCTCCTAGTGACTTCCGAGGGTCTTTCCAACTTCCAACTTCGCACTACTACAATCACTACATCCTCTTACATTCCATCGGAGCCAATCCCATCCCCTGCACTCCCACTTCTTCCACATTCAGTTCTTCTAGCGCTACCTTCAATTTCCTAATGTGGTAGCATTTCCAGCTCTACTATACACAGTATCTCACTCCACTCATGAACATTCCTTGTTTTCCCTCTCCTTTCCCGACCCGCTACCACATGGCGTGTCAGCTTATCCTACGGAAGCTCGTATTACCCTCCGACTCTTGAGTCTAGCTTTGGCCCCCAGAATCAGAATCAGCTGGCAATCCACTAACCAGATCGAGTCTGAAGATCGACGTCGCGTGTATGAGCGTCATATCCTATTTTTCGCTGCCGGGTTTCCGAACCTCCTAGCTGACTGTGTACATGACTCGTGATAATATTCTCCTGAGGCTCCCGGTACGAATATCGGGAGTTGGCCGCCGCTAACCCAAGATACGGAGGTTGTACAGTAGTTTAACGCGTGGAGACTCCGCCGGGGTCCCAGAACGGATGGGTGTTGGCGGGTTAGGCTGGCGGCCTCCTGTGGCCTATGCTGGCCCATGCGTCTCGGGGCTCAGCGGAGTGCGTTGCATTTCCCCATCCCCATCCCTATTCCCTTATCGGCGGGCAATTCTCCCTTTTCCTTTATCTTCCACGAGACCCCGGTCCTACAATATATCTGCAGAGGCGCCCGCCAACCAGAAAACTAGTACATATTCGCACCAAGTCCGATGCAGCTGTTCCTGCTATTGCGATGGGGGGGGGGGGGGGGGAAGATAGCAGTTGACTAGCCACTCCACGGATAACATGAGAGACCCCGGAAGAATACGTGATCAAATCAGGAAATTGGCTAATTCGTATTTAATGGTTCAGGATCTACCTCGTATCTGTGGATGACGCTGGAATCGGGTCTGACCTAGACGGAAGCATCGCGCAATATCCGCACCGTCGACTCAGAATCTATTTCCAGCAGGCCCCGGTCCACAAGCGACACTCGCGTCAATTAACCGGCCCCAGGAACCACGTTTCCTTCAGGAATTGATGGACCGTGGAGTCTGGATTCATTATTGCAGAATGTCTGAGTGGGCGGGTGGGGGAGAAGCGTTTCTTACGGCTAGCGTTGACATCCTGCGACAGCGCTAACATGCGGGCCATTCCGCTGCCAACGTGCTAGACACTCCTCACCCTCCTGCTGTGCCAATATTGTGCATAGAGGGGGCCTCCTGATACGCTGAGCTGACCAAGGACATGTGTGAAACGATGGTCGGCCTAACAGATGCCTAGAGAATTAGAGTGTGGCGAGGTATACGGGATGGCGGACATGCCAACCGTCAGACAGACAGCAGATGGGATCCGGGTGGGAGCGCTAAGCCCGTTAATAAGCGGAATGGCAATCAGGGTTGGTGGCCGTGGAATTATGCCCACTGCAAAAAAGGACGTGTGGCTTTCTGCGGTTACATCCGAATAGTAAAAAAAAAAAAAAGCATCCGCTGCAATGTGATGATCAATCCGGACTAGCTGGCGACCATTGCGGTCTCATGTATGGCTGGATTATATTTTAATTATCTTGCCTAACGCGGATGGCTTGGACTTGGGCGATCGCCGCCTGGCGTGGCGTTGCGTTCTGGGTTTTCAAACGGGAGATCGAATCCAAGACATTCATCCTATCGAAGGACTATGGAGCCGAGGGGGAGGCACGCGCTCCGTGGTTGATGGAGCAGCCTCCACGGGCTGAAAAATACCAGGGATGCAGGGCAACTTCAGATTAAGCCATGCAGGCGCCCATACATCCCCCATTCGTCGAGCAATTATCTCAGCAGGAACTAGGGTGACCTTCGTTAGGTCGGGTGAATCTTATTAAATACACCCTATGCTAATATTACGCAGACTAAGCTACAAGCTACGGTTTCGGGGGGGTTCCGCAGTCTGCAGGCCGAACGGGGGATATTCATCCACCTCGAGTCGGGTCAGATGTACGAAAAAAAAAGGATCAGAATCCTTCCATTTGCTTCCCGATCGGTCCTTAGGGTAGCTTGAGCGAGCCTTGACTAATCTGGCCTGTTATTTCCCCTCAACAATCGCCCCGGATCCGAGATGGGTAGCCCGGAGGTTGTACTTATCGACGGCGTCCCCTCGGTGCCTTTCCCTCTTCTCTGGTCCTAATATCCATAATGCGTTGACACATTTATATCTCATCCACCTTCCTCCCGGACGCGGCTCATTAATTTCTTTTTACTTCTTCTCTGTATCTTCTCCAAACAACTTAGCTGTCTGTTTTAACTGAGTGCGGCCACTAAGCTATGCCCGCTATGACCATTACGCTGAGTGACCAGACACATACCATGTCTGAGGCCTCACCGAAGAAGGATGGCATCGCCGGGACAGAAGTCAAGAAGCCAGGCGCTCGGCATGGCCATTCCCAGAGCAACTGCCATCACCTGCCGCCTCCCCCATCGCAACCCACTGCGGAAGGGGAATACCGATGCGGAATCTGCAACAAGACATATAGTCGACGTAGGCTGCCCTTTCTTATGATCGCCCAATGTTGACACATTTCTCTCCTGAGTTCCTTGATCATGCTCAGAGACACGGCCACTTATGCACAGACTTGTGGTTAA